ATAGACCACTAGTTGGATTTTACTATTAAATTGTTGTTAGTAAAATCCAGCTAGTGGTCTATTATCGATGCTGTGTTCTGATTGGTTGAGCTACTAGGCTATATGTTGTAGCCCCCTAGTAGCGAAAGCGCAGGCTTTTTGGCGGCAAAAAAGGATTAAAGTCTAGCTTTAACTAACTAAAACTTTTTTTATTCTCGATATTTTTGACCAACTAGTATAGTTGGATTTTACTAATTAACAATTATTCCTCGAGCCCGAGTGGGCTCTGAGTTAATAGAGAGATTAAGATTCACGTTTACGCCAAACGGCAAACGTGAATTTGTACCACGTGACCAAATTTTCCCCTTGTTTTTCGTATACTGTTTATTGCTTCTACACAAAAATAAGTAGTTTTATGCCAGTTTTGTCCACAAGAATCGTTCTGGACTGTTTTTATCTGCTTATTTTATGTTCTGAGAAATTTTCAACTGACGTTTGCCGTTTGCCGTAAAGGTGAATCTTAATTTCTCTAATAGCCCATTTGGCCTTCGGCCTCATGAGCTATTAACTCAGAGCCCATTCGGGCTGGAGGAATAATTGTTAATTAGTAGCCAGGGAAGTCGCAAGCAGTCATGGAGCCCCTTCCCTCCCCAAGAAGTTTTTGAAGTGCAACTTCTACCGTTTTCCAAAAGGCATTACCGCCCCCAAAAAAGCAATCTTCATCAAGAGTACAGCTATCATTAGCGGTTTTATGATGATCACATCTTTATTAAAGAAAACTACAACATTCTGAGACACTAAAATAATAAGTTTTTACTTTACGTAAAGGCTCGTTGGAGGGTTTTTTTAGTGGCCGCTAAATGGGTATACACATGTTAGCACCGGGCCTGAAAAGAATGACAGGTTGGCACCGGTAAAGTTATCCGCTGTCTTATCTTCACGCAGACAAGGCGCATGCTGGCCAGTGAAGTGTTAAATCACAACGATACTTTACAAATGTTAAAAATGTGGAAAGGACAATCGATTCTTATGCGGTACAAATGAATTAACATGCGCTGTAAAATCAATTGTAAATCCTCATTTAGTTATACGTAAGAACGAAACAACTTAAGGAAAACAAAAGTAAAACTAATGTTACAAATGAATTAACCCACGGAGAAGTGGGAAGAAGACAAGCGGGGGATGAATGTACGAAAAAGCATCATAAACATAAGGTTACTATGGTTTGTTGAAAAACAAAAGTATGATAAGGTTAAAACAAGCGTAACGTACAGAAAATCGCGGGATAAAATATGGCAAAACTAAACTGCACAACTGGTAACATTAGTGGTCTCGAATTTATGAACGAAACATTACTTAACATACGAAGAAACTGACCTGCGGAAAAGTGTTTAAAAGACAGGGCTAATACTTTATAAACAACGCTGAGATGTCAAAACGAGACTCAAGGAGAAGATTAAGAATGCAAAAGTGATGCTAATGCTTAACTTCCCTTTTATACATAACTTCTTGGAAGTAGAACTGAGAGGATGTGATCATGACCTGCGGACAATGATCGAACATTTCCCGTTGACCGTGCGTTATTTTATATACTCGATGCCTAAAGCTAATTTTAGACCTGGTCACTTAAATGTCAATATATTAAACATGGCAATAAGTCATAGTCGTTATCTTCAAAGCCTTCATCATAATCCTCATTATCACCAACATCAGCATCTGGGAGATTTAACGCTCGATCGGATGAAGCCTCAGCTTGTGATGTCAACAGAGATCTGCTCAGGTCTTTCATCGTGAACAAAGAGTGCAGATTCCTTTGTCACTTCTTCGACATGTTCAACACAAAGCCGACACAACGGTTGAAACTAGTGACTTTTAGCATCGACAAAGGTGACGGCAGTGAAAACGTCACTTTTAAAATGAATTGGCGTTTTTTCCAACTTTGTCGCGTTTTTGTCAATTCCCTGAAAATAGCTAATGTAGGCAAATTTCCCTGGAGTTGATTTCTTTGGGACCGCACTCAAGTTTAGAAAGAGAAAGAAAAGTTTGTCGTCCCTTGTTTTACGTCCTCCTTAAAACGTGAAACTAGGCATTTTCACGTCGTAGTCGTGCAGTAACGGTTAAGAAATGTACAAAAAAGCGTGATGAGCGTGCAAACTAGTTGTTTTGCTCCATAAACCCATTGCTTTTTTGACGTTCTCGTTGCCGTCGCCGTCGTCGTTGCTAAAACTCCCTACTGACATTTCGCGAACGGAGAGTTTTTGCGTGTGTACTAGTACCAAATCTAAGTCAGATGTCTTTTTCTGACATTTCTTAGTTTTTGCACACGAGTATTTCAAAATTACTTAAACCTGCTGCAGATGAAACTTGCATTTAGTTTGATGGATAGTCTTTGTGTGTTTCAAAGGTGTGCTCTTTTGGTTTAATTTAACGACGAAAGTAGCCGGGGGCCATGCTCTGAGTAGCCGGGGAAAATCTCCGGCACCCGGACATTAGTGACAACCCTGCATATGCCTGCAGTTCTTAGGGAAAAGCCCAGGGAGACGAATCTGGCCTGCAGTGAAAACACTGCATAACATCCCTTTTACTTACAGATCAGTAAAATTAAAGGAACGATATCCTAAGACGCTAGCTGATGATAGTAATGTAATTTTCATTCTTTCTCCAACGATGAATAACTACAAAAACATCATTTGTGACTGCCACGTTTGGTTAACTTTCACGGCTCCTAGTACATCCTGTTGTAACGAAGGAAAACCAGTCTTCCTCACCCCTTCCCCGTTTTTATGAATTATCCCCAGTACAGTGCTGTTAGCACAGGTAATCACATGATTTTTCTCGTGCAATTTGGGATAAATCAGCACTCGTAAATTTTTCAAAAACTACCGTAAAATTCCGAAAATAAGCCCCGGGGCTTATATTTTTCAAAGGCCCTTTTTGAGGGGCGTATTTTTGGAGGGGCTTATCTACGGAGGGAAATTTGCGTTTCAAAATCGATTGGGCTAGCCTTATAGTTGGAAGGAAATTTACTGTTTTTGCTTTGTTTTACTTTGTATTGGAGGGCCATTTTCCAAGTATAAGCACCCCAGGGGCTTATGTTTAGAGGGGCGATTTAACGGAGGGTTTTTTGCGTTACCGGTTTGGGGGCTTATATTTGGAGGGGCTTATACATGGAGGGGCTTATTTACGGAATTTTACGGTAACCAAATTGCACGAGCCCGGGCACGGGCAACGTTTTGGGGCAGCTGTAGGACAATTTTAACGTTACGTCTCGTTAACTGTAGCCTGAGAAGCGCAGACGTATTTCCAGAGGGAGAGAAGCGACGACCGGAAATACCTCTGCGCTTCGCAGGCTACGTTGACTGGACAAGAAAAACAATTTCAACTGAAAGTTTCGTTTGAAAGTTGACTGGTACCACCCCCAACTTTACCACCACCCTTAACAAAACCACGCTGAATCCGCTCTTGCTTTGGTTTCCCCCCCTCCTTAATAACCAACATGTCCAAATTCCAATTTGATGTAGAAATTGTTTTCCAATTAGTTGGGGATATGTAAGAGGGACACAGGTTTACCAGTTCTTGGAACGGTCAAGTGTCACTCTCTTTCACAAAACACCACAGGGACCCTGTTTAGCACGCTTCAGTGGCATATTTGCATTGGGCACCCCCTCTAATATTCATGGTACTGCAATAACCTATTGCTGTGCAAAGTTTGGTGCTTTTGTCAACTCTGTAACGATCCTGACCTTAAAAGACCTGACTAACAACCGGATCTCTACCTTGGGGGCTCGTTCGCGCGGTAAATCTGGAGTTGCGAAAGCTTTAGGTTTGATCGGTCGGACATTACGTGATCAGCTCCACTTCTGGTTTTAGTTTGCCTTTCAGAAAAATGCAAATATTCAGTTCCATCTGCATCTTTCATGAGCTGAACGTTTTCCCAGCACATTTTCCGATGCTCTCCACATCCTCGTAGACCAAAATGCAGTGAATTGAAAAGCCAAAGTGTGTATATTGATGCTTCTCCGTTTGCAATTCCCAGAAGGTTGTTTCGTAGAGAATATTGATCTCATCATCGCTTAGGGCTTCTGCTGCATTAGGTCTATTGCCTTTGCCCTCCGTTTTAAGTTGCTTGTTTTTAGCTTCAAGACATTTTCTTGCGCGTTCAAAAGCAACGTCTTCGATGACACTGACGGGATATTTACATTCTTTCAAATGTCGATTAAAACTTGAAAACAGACCTCTAAGACGTGAAGGTTCTAAGTATTTACCGTCTTTTAGCTTCACACTAAGGATAAACTCGTAGAGATATTCGTTCACTTCCTTGGCTTCGATGTCTTCAGGATTTCTTTTTGCTCGTGTTTTTCTGTCACAAATTCAACGAGTAGTTTCACATCTCTCGTCGTCTTAATAGCTCTTGTATTTTTGTTTTGCTGCTCGATAATATTGTCGTCAATTGACTTTTCTAAATGCTCAAATCTCGTGGATCCTTGAGCCATTGTTAAAAGTACAAGCATTTTTGTACTTTTGGTACACAAAGTTTTCTCGCTATGGAGGTTTGCACACAAAGAACTTGAACTTGTTGAATGAAATCTGTGGTTATATGTTATGACAAGTCTCTCCTGATAACGCACGTGTGAAAAAGCCATTTCACTGCTGTGATTGGCTATCAGAATTTTTCAAGCGAGTTTTCTTATGAAGAAAACTGTGAGTAAATCTCAGGATTTACGTAATAAAAGTCAATCCTGGCCATTTTGAATCCCTATTTTGGTCGAATTTTAAATCACAAAACTGTAATTGCTCTTTGTAGCGCTTCGTGTATATCGCAGGACATGACATAACACAAGTGGGACAGTCTCGCTATCAGTGATTCCATATTACGAAGTAAATTTTGATTGGTTCTCCAAAAAAACCCAGCATTGCAACAATTTTTGCAACATGGTTATACGCCCCTGGTTGGGTATCCTGTGCTCTAAGGTTCTCGCGTTTTAGGTCTGGGAGCTATTCGGAAATTCGCACATTTCAAGATGGCGGATCACTATTCCATTTGCTGCACGCAGCGAATTGTGCTATACGAAACGAAAGCGGTAACTATAACTTTTCTTGTAGACGTTTAACCTTTTTTTCTTAACCTAAGCTGTGGCTGAAGTAGCTTTTTTACTCTCTCCACAGAGGTTTTTCCTGGTGGGTTCGAACAACGCAGAGACTCGCTTTCGTGTACTGAAGATAGACAGAACAGAACCTTATGAGCTGGTGTTTTTCGATGATAAGGTTTGTTTTCACCCTGTCCCTTTTTTGTATGAGGTCTGACTTCTCCTGGAAAGTGTGGAGCAATTCTCATAATTAAGGTAAGATTCCGTGCAACCCCATTTATTTATTATGCATTCAGCTATTTCATACTATTTCACACAAATAGTTGATATGAATAGGGTTGAAACGTGGATGCATAATAAATGTATGGAGCTCTATGGAAATCTTACCCCCATGGTCCCTTAGCTAGCAGAGATAACAAAAGGGTCTACTACAGGGCTCTCTAATCCCACTTTCCTGCCTGTTTTGTCCTCTTTATCCCACTATCCTGCCCTTTGCTATGTCAAAATCCTGATCCGGCCCTAATTGTTTCTGAGTTTCTTGCTTGAAAATTCAAGGAAATAGACATTGATCATGAGAGATCATTCTCTCTTGAAGATTAATATATATGGCCTTAGTCTACCAAACTATTGCTTTCCATTGGTACCTGTAGTTCCATCCACGAAAAAGAAGGAAATGTTGATTTGGACAACAAGACCAGAATGCAGGACTTTTTTTAAAACAATGTGACTTCTAACCTCTGTGATTCGCATTTGATACCTCTTTCCAGTGATGAAAACAGCCAAAATAGAAATGAAATGATGAATATACGAATTTCATATGAATATACGAATTTCATAATTTCATATGTTGGAACTGTGAAACAGAGAAATAAATGCAAAGAAGAACAGCACAGTTAAAGATGCAACTTTTGCAGTTGAGAAAAGAAACCCGGAAAAAATTTGGCAGGCTTGCCGCTGATTCAAACCCTGACCTTTTCTATATCTGTGCAGTCTGCCATACCTGCAGCCATTATTAGTGCCATCACACTATGCTCCTCCCCACACACAGCTGCTGAGAGTGAAACCACATTCCTTTCCCACAGTTCGCCAATTAGAATTCAGCCTCCATTTTCTGGATGGTGTTCGAGCCACTTTTACGGTACGGTGACTCCTCCAATCACAGCTTTGCTTTTATCTGTGCCCCATGTATGAATGACAGAACAATTAAAATCATCACGTGAAAACAAGGAATCAACTATAGTAGTGTTTTGTTGTTGTAGTTGAGTGACTTGAGTCCTATTCAAAATTTATGAGATAAGCAGCAGCAGCAAGCAAGTTGAGAAAATGAAAAATGAAAATGGGAGATTTGGTGACCCATTGGTGTAGTATGCAGGAGAATCACCCATGACCTCAGGAATGTCCACTGCTTTGAAGACTGGCTCTCCAATAGGTCCAAATGCATGGTAGTCACTGGAGAAGTCAATGCTTTAGAGATTTGAAAGTTTAGTTTTACCTTATTTGTAATATATTAGTTTATAAATATAACATTTTATTATTCAACTTAGGTGGAGTACACTCAAAGGCAAATCAAGGATTTGTTGTCAATGATAAGTGCAGGAAATATGCCGAACAAGAACAGAGCATATGAGACAACAAATCGCGGACTGCATAGGAGTATCTCTGCATATGGGATTGTTGGTAAGATTCGTATCATGAAGGAAATGGGCCAAGTTGTTTGAATCCTGATTAACTGGGCTAACTGTCAAAAGATCAAGCTAGTTGTCATGGTATCGGATTTAGGCAAATTGTCCTTCAAAACAGCTCAGCTTAAGAGTATAATAAATTGCAGTACTGCTCAAGAGTAAATTGACAGTGAGTGTTTTGCTTAGTTCTAAACAAATGTGTGTTAAAGTAAGTGGTTTCAAATTGCACACGACAAATGCAAGGCTGTCACTAAAGATCTCAAGTTATTTATGAGTCCAGGTATATACAAATAGTAGGCAGGGAACTGAAGAGTTGAGAAGTTATTTTGCTTTTTTATATTATTTTGTTTCTTTTGCAAACAGCCAGGGGTCATATTCATAGTAGCAGTCAGAGGAAATTCTCAGCCCTCAGCCCTTAGTGTGTTTGCATAAAAGCATGATGATTGGTGTAAATTTCTAAATGTGTGAATGGTTATTGTTCTTTTTCTCAAGAAATGACAATTAGCGGTATTGTTTCCTTGAATCCCTTTGAGTGATGAACATTTAAACATCCTGGTTTCTTGAAACGTAAAAATTCAAAACTCGAGAGGCAAAATCAATCCTTGTGTCTTGAAACTGGATTTGTTTGAGTTTTTTAGACATAAGAATTGCAGTTTTAAGGATTGAGTTGAAACTGTCTACTTACTTTTGAGCAGTATTGCTCCTTATGCCCCAATAACCAAGTTAAACTACCCATTTCGCTTCGTAGGCTGCTTTGATCGTCATTTGAAAGAAGCCCTCAAGGGATGTAACAAAACAAAATATGCTACAGATACCATCATACATTACAGCTTGGTTCCTAGCCTGCAGACTTATTTTTTGGATTGGGGAAAGCTGCTTGTTGTTGTTTTTTTTTTTTGTATTTTCATGGATGCCACGTTCGATTTTATTTGCTGAGAAAGATTGAGGGAGAGTAGAAGTAACAACCCTTGGGTTGAGCACCTTAATCATGTTTGTTACTTGAACAGAACCATTGACACATGCAATTAAAATGTCTGAAATACAGGCTTCCCAATGTTACAAGAAATTGAAGGCAACACCTAAAGTGTGCCATTAATCTACAGCTTGCAAGGAAAATCTCCATGGGTTGCTATGTGTACATGTATACACATTTTTTACGTAGCAGTAATAGTCATGATCAGATTGAGGGCCACTCTTCCAGGCCTTTCACTGGTAATGGAGGAAATATTAACCTGTCTGTAATTCATCTGTTTTTAGGCTTTGTGCGATTTCTAGAGGGGTACTACATTATACTGATCACAGAACGGAGAAAGTAGGTTCAAGTGATACTGTCAAAATAGAGCTCACATCATTAAATTATAATTCCTGCTAGCCACTTTGTTGAGCTCACAGCTGGTCTTCATCAGGCGATGACTAAGACTATCAGTAGCACCATGATCACAGTAACTGATATTCAAAATCTACTTATAGTGATTTAGGTTCCCAAAAATTCAGGTACATGCTTCTATTAAAAGTCCCTCTCGTAAATGGACATCATCTTCTCTATGCAATGTACAGTCGACTTCTTCTTGGAGACTTCATAGTGCATTATTTTAGTGGAGCTATTGCAGATTTTGTTGTTTTTTTTTTTTGTGAAAGCTGTTTTGAAAATGATAAAGTTAGTCAGTCAATAATGCTGATATAAAAAAATTTTGTTTGTGTTACTCTCCTTTTTCAGACAAGCTCAGATAGGTGGACACAGTATCTACAAGATCGAGGATACAAAGCTGATCCCAATAGCAAATGAGCTTGTCAAACAAAAGTTTCAGCATCCTGATGAGGCCAAGTTAGTTACGCTGATCCTTTTCTAAACAACAATAAAATGCATGTTCATTGTTTTAGTTTTGAAAGCATTGGAGAATTTTCAAGATCATAAGAGAAAGTACTGGTTATTGCCTTTTCAAGTGTTTGAAGTAATATTCACTTGTTACTTGATAAATTTTTGGACTAAAAAGTGTGGGGCATGTTTAATTGTGGAGGAAACTTTTATTTCTGATGAGCAAAGCGTTTCAGAGCAATGACGGTAACAAGAAAATTGAACATATGTACAGTGTATTTTAAGCTCTAACAGCAATTATAGCAGTAATATTAGTTTTGCATTAACCATGTCCAAAAAATCAATTTTTTCAGCATTTTTGATAGAGGATGGGGCACTTATTTAGGGGCAGCATCCTTTGAGATAAATTCATCACACTGGTGAGAAAGGCCGGCCTTTATATGTGTTGATAAAAAATGTGCATAACAGAAAATCAGCCTTGATCTTTGTTGTTTTTTTTTTCCAATTTCTAGGTATGTGAAGATCTTTCAAAATGTGGATCTTTCAAGTAACTTTTATTTCAGGTACATGTAAACCTGGTTAACAGTTCAGTGTACTGATCACAAATTAAGAAAAAGTGTTTCTTCATTTTCTTCTAATTTTAGTTATTAGTTAAGGTTTGAATTAAGCTTTTCCCCATGCCCTTCCATTAGTCTTTTATCCAATTACATGTAGCTGTGGGGAAGTATTTCCTATTTCTTGTACTTGCAATGACATGTAACTGACTTTTGAACAACTGTTGTAATTGAAATACAAATAATAAGTAGATGTTAATTATGCAAAGTCTTCTCTTTTTCCTTTTGATCTGATAGCTACAGTTATGATCTCACTCACAACCTTCAACACCAGATGGGCCCTATCCTGAACCCTAAGCCTGATTTAGCTCCTACAGAATCTTGGCAAGCGTGGAAATCATGTATTCATGTCAATGACAAATCAGTCAATAAGTCTGATGTGACTGATATTGCTACATCTGCTGTAGAAAGTCATGCGCAGTTGAAACAAGAGAGCACACTTGATCAAACTGCATGTGACAATCAAGTACTCTCTAATGATCATAATGATGGAAGCTATGTTGCTAGCAGTGATGAGGGGACTGTATATGTTGAAGACACTGCAAAGAAAGAAACTGGAAAGGTAGACAGTGAGACGGCAGAAGTAAATGCTGATTTATCCCATAATGGTGACTTGAATACTGTAGGAGTAGGAGGGGATGGAAATGCTGATCCATTCACTGACACCGTTTCTACCTTGTCGGCTGGAGAAACTGCACCTTCAAGGGACCAAATAGTTCACAAACGTAGTGGCGATCTTCCACTAAAGGACAGTTCTGTGAGTACACTTGATGGTCAAGCATCAGCTTGTTCAGAGTGCCAAAAAATAAGACGACAGAAGATGCCATTTTTGAACAAACGCAAGTCCTGTTGTAAGTTTGTGTGGAACAAATATCTCCTGCAAGGCTTTGAGGGAGCTGTTCATTCTGACTGGATTCTGCACATTGTTAATGGCTTTGTGGGACAATCCAGTATCCTTTTTGCAACAATGTTCTTGAATCCCTATTTTTCTTGTAAATTAATGTAGAATGAATGGCCTCTACTAGATGCATTATTTTATTTCAGCCCTTATTGTCAATCATGTTGCTCTTTAATACTTTTGTTTATTGTTATACTAAGACCCTGCTAAGAAAACCCGTAATGTGTGGGGAAAGTGTTGGTTCCAATTTTCTACTTAAACCAGCCCTGCTAAAGGCATAAACAAATTTAATATTTGAATTTCATTTCAAAAAGGAGGAGTTATGATGTGACTGTTTAAAGACCGAGTTGGACTGAAATGAAACTGTCAAATGACAATGCTGTAGAACTATAGCAATTCTATTTATAACTTTAAGCTGCTATTGTTTTCCTACAAAAATATATGATTATTTCTTGCATAAATTAGATCGAAAAAAGTTGAAAACTGGACTGTTGCTAGAAATCTCCATAGGTACCTTCACCTAAACCTTCTCAAGTTACACTGTTTTTTTTATAAGAATATTGTTTTTCCCGCCCAGGCTGAATATTCTTATTTTTCTGCCGATTTTGTCTGCCGATTTTGTATTATTCTTAAATTATAGCTTATGACATTTCCGTTTTAGAATTTATTGGGGTATATGTATTACATGTACCGTTCATCGAACTGTCATTAGCGTTGCACATTTTGCTATAGCTAGTGCAGGTTTTTTCGTTTTGTTGGCTAGTTTCGCCGTTCAGAGAAAGGAATAATTTTATATGGTTATGTTAAAAACATAAAATTGTATTGTATTTACAGATGTTTCAACACACAAGACTATATCTATCCTTTTCAAAATCTCAGCCTCAGCTTTATTCTTAAAATATTCTTAAAACTTCGCAAATTTCAGCCTCGATATTCTTATAAAATATATTCTTATAAAAAAAAGAGTGTAAAAAAGGATCTTATTCACTTTTGTAGATCATTCACTTCAGGTCTGGCATAATGATAGTTTTCCCTCTTACTGATAATTTGTTGTACAGATTAGATAATGTTTAAATCTGGTTCATTGCTTTGACATTTGCTCGAGATATTTGTGTTTATGGACGGCCCATATATGTGACACTTATTGCACGAAGGTCCAAGGAATTTGCTGGAACCAGATTTCTTAAGAGAGGAGCCAATGATGAGGTTTGTTTAGCTATCGAGCCTCCCAAAGTGGGGGTAGGGAAGGGAGGGTAAGGCAAAAACTGACTAGAACCCTAAGGTTTTTTTGTACACCTTCATGATTTGCTATTCTCAACATTAACAATAAAGAAGTATGATTTTTGATGCTCTGTTATTTGCAATATTGCTTTGAGCTGCCAAATTGTGATGTATTTTGTGTTCATTCCGAATGAAGCTTCCAGCAAACCTTTTTGAAAAGTTCATTTGCATAGATGGTTTGACATTGTTTTAGGGAAATGTAGCCAATGAAGTCGAAACGGAGCAAATTGTCAATGATGCTTCAGTTCTGTCTTTCAAGAGTGGCAGGTTCACCTCCTATGTGCAACTGAGAGGATCTGTCCCCTCTTTCTGGTCACAGGTAAATAAATCAATGTACATGCCTAGTGTGACTTTGATGAATTTAGATAAACTGTTTGAGGTGAAACGACTTTCAACACTTGATTAAAATGCAGGCATTGTCTGCTTAAGATCATTCTAGAGGATGGGGAGAAATGGCGGTGATGGTATGTAATTCCTTTAGGGTTGTGTAATGTGCCTACAATCTTTAAGCAACTGATGCACTGTCAGTAAATGGGATGCCTTTGCCAATTAACTTTTTTGGTATCACTGCGTCATCAGCAAATTCAAGCCAAGAAAATGTTGCTGATTGCATGTTATAAATATCTTGAACTGTTAACACTCTAGGTCTTCTCCCATCTCTTTATTGTTCTCACAATCCAAACAAATAAAACAAAGCTGCTTTAAGCAGTGCTGGTGGATAACCCTAGGAATGAGCCACATATGTACCCTCTTTTGACTTTTTAAATGTGCATTCAAGTTCAAGTCCTGTTGAAGTAGCACATCCTCTTAAAAGAGCTCACGCAGCCTTGTGTAAAGATTCAAAAGACAAATCCATGTCTCACAATGGTAGGGTTAAGACCTCAAAGGTGAAACAGATGTTGGGTAGTTTGTAAGGTTTCAATGACAAACCAAACTGTCTTCAGTTTGGCATTATTTTGCATTCATGGTATCATTTGAAATCTGATCATTCCTGAACTCTTCTTGATTTTTAGGAGGTTAAACAGGTCATGGTCCCTAAACCTCAAATCATTGGTAAGTTGAACTGCTAGTGCAATTTTGAAGCCTTTTGAAATGAGTAGTCAGTATTTATGATTTCTGTAAGTATGTTTTCTTTCTGCAGTTACTTAATTAACTGAAGCAGGTTTTGTCTTACCTCTTTTCAAGTGTTTGCCCTTTTATATAAGCTATAAATCTAAGGTACAGTTGTAGATATTGTATAAAATTGCTGATTGTCTCCAATTCAGATCACCTTATTCACAATCACAAATTATTCATGTTTTGTTCAGTTGACCGTGCCGATCCTTTCTGCTCAGCTGCTGGTCAGCATTTCAACCAACTCTTGAGAAGATTTGGTGCACCTGTGGTTATTCTTAATCTTGTCAAGGTGGGTTTTTAAAAAGGGCATTTTTCACAAATAAAATGTAGTTTTAGTATGGCATTGAATAATGCATTATTTATAATATCATTACTACCATGCATTGTTGCAGAAATTGTTCATACCTCCCCATAGACTTTCTTAAACCTCTCCACTCAAGAAATTCCAATATACTGGTGTTAAAAGAGGCATTGACAATGTCTATTCAGTATGTCCACTGTCCCTGCAAAGGCAGAAATAACACTAAAATAATGTGGCTTGAGTTAGATTGGTGCTATTTGGGGACAATGTACAAAGACAGATGATGAGAAGAATAGGTGTGATACTTCTTGAGGAAGAAGTTTTTTCCCTGACTGTTAACCAACCAGAAACACCTAAGACGAATTAACCATGCAATAAGCAAAGGTACCAGGTGGCCAGCTGTGAACATGTCGAGAGTGTGTTATATCAAAATCCCTTCTCCCTGGCTGCATCTGACAAGATGTTGATCTACAAATAAACCAAACCAAAGAGCGTTTTCTCTTCCCCTCCCCCCCCCTTCGCCCACCTCCTCACTTTTTTGCTATTGCCTCAACTTTCACATGTTAACTCACTCAGAAACGCTTGCCTAGCAGGCTATCATTACAGCTGTGGAATGTGTCCTCCCAGGGACCTCATGATGCTGGTTGTATGGGCACTATACATAATACAACTGATGCTCCCCTTTTGAGACAACCTCCAAGGAGATAACCCTTTGCAAAGAGGACAGGTGTTCAAAGCCATCAGGGATCTGTACATACAACAGATAATATAATCTTGAGCTTTTTAACGTCCCATGTGCCTTCACCATTCTCCTCTTAAGAGAAAAAGGACTGAACAATCAGTTCTTAAGAAATCAGAAACTGGAAAGTTTGAGGCCAAACGATACACTTGCCCAACCTCACTGCATTAAAATTCAACAGACTGTTTCAGTCAGAATAGTCAGTCTTAGAGGATGGGGAGGAATTCCATTGATGATACGTGATGCCTTTAGGACTTTGTAATGTGCCCACAACCTTTATGCACCTGACACGGTGTGTTCAAAAGGTTACCTTACTAAAGTAACTGTGCTATCATCATTGCACATCTGAAAGCACTTGATGCAAAGTTCACACATTTAAAGACGTTATTTACTGGGTTGCACCAGGTAAACCTGAAGTAAAGTTTCTTGGTTTTTCAGATGGTTCAATGACCAAACAAGGAAAAAAGATTAGCATGGAACGGAACAATTCCCAAACCACAAAACAAAAGCTGCCTACAATTGTTTCCAAATACTGAGAAACAGTCCATAAAGTGCCAATTGTTACAATACTGCATTGAATTTTTCCTTTTTTCATGTTGTAGAAAAAGGAGAGAAAAAGACACGAACAGATTCTAAGTGATGAACTTGAAAGTGCAGTAACTTATCTCAACCAGTTCCTACCATCACAGCACGCAATACAGTACAAAGCTTGGGACATGGCTCGCTACAACAAAAGGTTAGCTCAAGCTTTACTGTTTTTGTTGACAGTGACTGACATTTTGACAACCTGTGCGGAAGTTATCTTTGACCCTAAAGATGACTACTGCACAGGTTGTCGAAGCCTCAGTCATTGTCAACAACAACAGTCCTATTCACGACTATGTTCACCCAGACGATCATACTCAACCTAATTATGAATATACCAAGTGTTACATATCCTGAGATTTTAAGTAGATTCAATCTGTTCATTTGCAGTAAAGACTGTAATGTGATGGAAAAATTGACCATTATTGCAGATGAGGTTTGTCAGTTGAATAACTAAATTAGTTTATGTACCTTAACTTTTATGTTTAAGCCACTAACATAATTAAGCTGCAATACCTTCATACTTAGTACATGCCTACACTAATTAATTTTACAAGTTTTTGTGGCAAAATATATGGAGGAACTGGAAAATCACAGTCTTTGTAAAGCAATCATATATTACTGTAGGGAGAAAACAGCAGCCACATTAACCTTTTGGTTTGCAAATTGCTTGGGAAGGAAAGTTAACATGATTAACTAATAGACACTGTGCCTCCAAAAAGGGAAAGCTGCTACAAAGCTGCACCTATCCCTAATCCCGAAATTCAATGAGTTACAGCCAGAGTTACAGCTATTATACAGGAGTTCTCAGTCTATCTTGTTGTCCTTAGGATTTGGTTCCCTCAAAATGTTGAAGATTGTCATTGACCATTACAGTAACAGGGAGTTACCTTTACCGGCCCAAGGAGTGTGTTGTCATATTTGCAAAACCTTCTTCCTTAAGCCCATCACCTCTATCAACGCATAAAAAATCCGCCGTAAATCGACCTTGTTATCAACATCTCCTCAATTGATTATAAACAGCTTTTATAGCCAACCATTTCAAAAGCCCTCCAGTCTTTTGGTAAAAAGGCTTTTTCTTAAAATCTATGTGTTCATATTTATGGTAATTTTTTGGAATTTCAAAATGTTACCCATAGATTTTGTCGTTGATGTGGATGTTATGGATCTTGCTTTTAAGGCAGTTTTTCTGCGACTTCCATTCCTTTAGGTCTTCAAAGCAACTGGGTTTTTTCACAGTGGTCAAGAATTATACTGCAACCAGATCAGAAAAGATTTCAGGTATACAGATATGATGTTTACTTCTCTGGCTGCAGCCAGCTACCTAATGCGTTACTGTTCACTACCTGGGGTCCATCAGTATACGTTTGCCATAACTATGCCAGATTTTCTGCAGAATGGACAAAGTTTTTATCACATAATTGATAGAGTATATGCTTGCCACGTTATTCAACGTCTGGTCAAGAAATTATTACTAAAGAATTTCGCCTTATTTCCTTGAAAAAATACTTCCCAGATAAGTTTATGCTCCAAGTAAGCGATAAAGGCCATCTTTTACCACTCTGTCAACTTTAAATACCTGAACTACCACAGTTAGCTTTGAAATGGTATTTTGGCATCGTATTTAAGCATTCACGCCTCATTTAACATTTTTAGAGTTTTTAGGTTTAAAAACGATTACTTTTTAATAGTTAAATATCAAGTTACATCATTGTAATTTCTTTTCGTTTTTAAATAAGTGGAAAGTTATAATTTTTATTATTATTATTATTATTATTTGCGTGCAGATGTAATGGTATGCGTGGAAGAGGATATGCTGATGATTCTGTTGGAAGGGAACAGGTACATTGATTATTTGATGTTATTGTATTACCTAAAATTCACTGAAAGCTTGCTTTAATATAATGGTGACAGGAATTTCAGTGACAATAGCACGGAGTTTTTCCTCCACATAGTTATTGCAGATAATGACAACGAAATGTGGTTGAAGTGTGATACGTACTGTACAAGCAATTTGGTTTTTTATGTTGTCATTTTCGTTATCCAGATAGTCTGTTAATTTCCCTATTTATGAATTTGCCTTTAATCATTGCAATAATTATATTTCTTTCCAAGAATGGCGTGCTGAGGACAAACTGCGTGGATTGTCTAGACAGAACAAATACAGCTCAGTTCATGGTTGGCAAATGTGCCTTGGGATTTCAGGTAAAAGTGTCAGATTCTGGCATGTTTCTGAATGCTGTTGTAGTACCAGCCACAAGTCACAAGTCCTTTTGTTTGGTGGTTATGTTTAGGGTGCGTATCGCCATCGGGTAGCTTACTAGTGCCAAGCTACAAGTTGTTTCTCACCCTTCTGTTAGCTGGATTTTGGACAACAGTTTACAAACCCTTACATAACACATTGTTTGCGAGCTTCGATTTTGAAAAATGTTGTGAGCGAGGAAAGTAAGTTTTTCGTTTTCAAATAGTCTGTGCTAGGCTCTTAGAAAGGGAAAGAGAGCGGCGGCGGCAAAAAGCCCTTTTTTCGCATCCGTTTTCTCGATCTCTGCACGTTACTATCTTGGAGCCTGAAACAGGCTACTTCTTTCCAAACAGCACCTGCTACATGTATTTGTGACAATTAATAATTATTAATGTTAGAATTGTACTGTTTGCTGAAACTTGTTCAATGCTCTGTTTAGTTACACGCTTTAGGGGTGATTGACAAACCATTTGTGGAGTTTGACTCAGATGCTGTGAGGTTGGTTACGGAGAAACGTGATATTTTTATGAACTATAGTTTTTACTAGCATTTTTTCGAGCATTTTAGTAAGGCAAAAGCATTGAGCCTTATGGAGCATTTTAGTGGCATATTCTCGGAATATTATTGTTTTTTTCTCAGAGATAATAAAAATGGAAAGAAACACGAAATTCCAGAAATATTCGAATTGAACCTCAACACAGCCTTGCACAGGATCTTTTGGCGCTGTATCAAGACTATTCACTTTTAGTAGGATCCAACTAGTGGTCTATTATCAATGCTGCGTTCTGATTGGTTGAGCTACTACTAGGCTATATTTTATAGCCCACTAGTAGCGAAAAGCGCGGGCGTTTTGGCGACAAAAAAGGATTAAATTCTAGCTTTAACTAGCTAATTTTTTTTTATTCTCGATATTTTTGACCAACTAGTTGGATCTTACTAAAACAATTATTCCTCTCTCCCTTATGGCCTCTGGGTCAATAGCCCATTCGGGCTCGAGGAATAATTGTTAAGTATTCATCGGTGTGTTGATACTTATACATTTTGTTAGCCTTAAGTCCTCTTAATATGTTTAGATATGAAATGAAAAGCCTCTCTATGATGAGCTTTATCCGAGCATTTCAATTTCCTCTGGGTAGCGACCGCGCATTAGGGCAAAAAGATGGAACATGGAAGTGGAGTGTTTTAGTGGGGAAACAAAAGCATTATGTACAATTTAGGTGGTGATGTACTGCTGAAGCCTTCAAATCCTGAGCTTGTTTAAGACAAAATCGCTTCGATTTGCCACCCTGTTTAGGAGACCTGGGATTTTTGTCTACCTTGTTTTCTTTTTTTTAATTAGGAAAAAAATTATAACTAACGTAAAAAACTTGGTACTACACAGGTAGATTGCGAACTATACTACCAACTTGCACCCCCTGTTCCTGTTCTCCCTGTTCCAGCGATCCAGTTCAGAAAGGCAGCCCGTTCAAAACGGTGTTTAAGACCCTAGACCTCGAAAACCTCTCCTTGTTGGTCGTTTCATAATACGGACAAGCAAGGGTGTGCCCACCCTTTCCTATTAAATTAAAAGTGTTATATCCTTTGAATTTTTAGGATTTTGGAAGATCTCTATGAAGCTCATGGAGACACTTTGGCTCTTCAGTATGGTGGATCACAGCTCGTCCATGGGTATGATATCATTTTGTCTTTTATCGTCGTCCTTTCAGTGTTCTATAACGAACCAACTCGATGACCTGCTTCCAGTTGGCTTATTAGCTCAATCGGTAGAGGGCTGCACTGAGCGGCATCGCAGAAGTCGAGGGTTCGAATACTGTCCAAACCTGAATTTTTTTCGCAACTACAAAATTTTCGTCTACAACTGCGATGATAGTCTTTCATTTAGTGATGTTTTTTTTTTCACTTAGTTTATTTTATAACAGTGGTTACCATTTTGTCCTGTTATTCTCTTTAGAATTCGAACATATCGCAAGGTATCACCATTTACTTCTCATTCACGGGACATCATGCAGACAGTTTCTCGCTACTACAGCAACGCCTTCACTGGTGAGATAACCCGTGTTCGCATTGCGTTGTTTCTTCTTTCTTCAAACGACACATGTCCGGCCAAGTCACTATTTTTGTGGGACAAAACAAAACTTTTATCGGACTTAATGAAGGATGCAATATGCGTTAAGCGAAAAATGTGTATATTAGAAGCGGGATTTGTAGGCAGAAAAAAGGCGGTCATGAGTATTTTAATACTCATCACACAAGATGAATTTTTTCGATATTTTATCGTCTTCTCCTCTTTACTTCTACAGAAAATTGTTTTGGGGTGCAGCAAATAAGGATATAAATTTCGATTTTTGGGGTTAAGGGGTTAAAGGTACTTGATGAGGTTTTATTGACTTTTTGTGGGCCGATGCTTTCGTTAATTCGATTATCAATATGTTTGAATTATAGTACTGTACTGTTCTAGTGGAACGACTGAAACTCAACTTTATACATTTGTTAAGTGTTTCTAAATACAAGTGAAGTAATTTGTGCCTTTTGAAGCGAAAAAGGGCAGGAATTCTCAAAGGGAGGCAGAATTAAGCGATCCATTTATGGTCGTTTCGAAATCCTTGCTCCTTTACTCACCGCACAAATCCCCTTTACAAGTTCAATTTCATACTTACTCTGACATTTCCCCAATTTTCTTCTTGTGATTCTTGGTTGAAATAATTAATCAAAGTCTGAATCATTGATTTAAAAAAATAAACTTTAACCAAACATGATACGGGACTTGGATCATCAGAGGTGTTAAAGAAGAATGTGGCGGAAAGAGTAGTTTTTTTTTCTATTTTAGCCAATCTTTATTTCAATTTATATTTTTCAGTTAAATTTGACATACATTACAAGCAGAAAAAGAGTCTTTAATACTTCGAGTAAATACGGTAATTTTTCATTTGAGTGTTAAGGAATTCGTCTTTGCAGATGCTGACAAGCAACAGGCCTTGAATCTGTTTCTTGGAATATTTTTACCGCTGCTTGAGAAGCGTAACATCTGGGAATTACCCAGTGATTATTACCTACACCACAATACAACACTGGACTTAAAGGCCTCCAAGACCAAAAAAAGGTTGGTTTTAATACACTGTCTCCTTTCAATAGTTTGACTTTCCTTGTGTCATAATGGCCATTAGCAAACTTAAGCAAAGGCGTTTTTGAGCCACGCACGTCAACCGTGGCCTTTTCCCTTTTAATATGCCTGGACGCTACCAATTTTGTCTTGCTAAGGGCCTGTTTACATGGAGGTGGGGGACCCCAGGTATGATTATAATTTTGATGATTATTATTATTATGCAAAAAGTCCACTTCCGGTTGACGTGCGTCTCTCAAAAGCGTGTTTCTCTTTCAATATGCCTTGCTAAGTGTCTTCACTCTTAAAGAGACGATTTCCCCAAGAATTTGTTCAAAATTACGGCCGAAGAGTTCAAAAACTCCACTTCCGGTTGACGTGCGTCGCTCAAAAACGTCGTTGCTTAAACTCCCTTTTGTTTAAGCTCGCTATCGTCCACGCACGGCATCTTCCCAGGCCTTCTTGGTCAATGCGTTTCGGTGACTTAAACTTGCTAGTACCACGTGACCAGAAACGCACAGACCGCGCGGAAAAATGTGGCCTAGGAACTAGGAAATGGCCGTCGCACAACGTTTTTTATAACCTCAGACAATAAAGTAGGAGACAAAATATCCGGATTGAAACTACCATTTTTATTTTAAAAAGGTCTCTATATGATCAGGAATTTTAACGTTTCCTTTTACGCGAGCTTTGTTGTCTCTCGTTCGTTTGCGACATGTTGATATTTGTTTCTACTTCAAGCGTTTACTTAATCAGATACTACATTCTTATGTAAAGTGAACCGTTTTTATCCTTCTCAGTTACACCAGATGGTGGGATCAGGCTGTGGTCAGGTCTTTGCCCGGCCCTACCCCTGACGGTATGTATACAAATAGGCAGTGTTAGAGCAGAGTCGAACAGCAATGTTGATCACGTGACCATTTTTATACTATAAATAGTGTCTGACGTCAATGATTGTAAATCTTCCAAATTTGGCTAGCACCAGCTAGCCGCAGAATTAAAGCCAATCTAGACCCTTGAATGGTCGTTCTTTTTTCCGCAAAGCTACGCGGCGCGGGGACTGCAAAAAAATTATGCAAATTAATGGGGAAAAGGAGGAGAGATTGTGGAGGAGAGAGGAAAAAGGACAATTTTCCACTTCCCTCGGGCTTGCGCCCTCGTTCCTTACGATCAACTGTGGCTTAACAGAAAAATAAGACTGCTCGCGGTCTAAAGCCAATCAGAAACGGCGAAGTATCTTGAATGAATAATAATAGGGCTTAGTGGGTTGAGAATTATTCCTATCCCACAGAGGCGAACCCAATGATGCATCGTCTTTAAAAATTGAGTAAATTATATTAGAACAGTATTTTTGAGTATTGATGCTTTAAAAATGTTCAGCCAGAGTTATGTAAGAAAATGTGTTGACAAATTTACATTTTACGTTCTGTAGATTCTACGCCAGGTGAAGGGAATGGCAGCAAAGATGAAGACGGACGTAAACAACATTCAGATGGAGTAGATGATGAACTAGTGGACTTGTTTTCAGAGTTTTATCAGCCATATGATTTGACCGTCCTGGAGAATCTTTATCCCCATGTCATGCAGAAATCGTGCAGGTACATGAGTTGTAACTTGGTTTTTTCAAATGAATTTCACGCGGACAGACTGGACCGTGTTATTCAAAACAGGATAGCCTAAAAGCAAGCTCTTCATGTGTGGCGAACGAAGCGAGCCAATCAGCTTTGAGAATTTTGTTATAGTTGAGATTAGCTTAAAAATATGGAGAGGCCGTGACCAAGATGAGTTGTAATAAAGATTCAGTAACCTTCCTTGATTTAACGTCATTTTCTTAAAACGGATGCAAGCTTTCAGCTGTTTTACCCAAAGTGTCGGACCGGTGAAATTAAATCAAAGAGGGGCATTTATGTAGGATTTTTATTAATCGTGAAGGGATCACGCATTCATCTTGCTTGGAATAGAAAATTTTGTAATCTTTCAACTGTAGCCTCACGTACAATAATAGGGAGCTTTAGCAACGACGACGGGGACGGCAACGAGAACTTCAAAAAAGCAATAGGTTTGTTGAGCAAAACAACAACTCTGCACGTGCATCACGCTTTTTTGAACATTTCTTGGCCGTCACTGAACGACTGCGACGTGAAAATGCCTAATTTTACGTTTTATGGAGGACGTAAACAAGCAACGACAAAATTTTGCTTCTCTTTCTAAACTTGAGTGTGGTCCTCAAGAAATCAACCGTAGGAAAATTCGCCTTCATTAGACAATTTCAGCAAATTGGTAAACACTCGACAAAGTTTGAAAAAACACGAATTTTAAAGCTCCCTAATGAGTGCTGATTGGGTTATAAAGGGCTGAACTCAGGCGAGTTCCGGCGAAAACCCTCATGTTTCATGGGAATGTTGACTGTAAGGAAACTGTAACTGTTGACTGAACTTAAGCTTTCAGATGTTTAACTTAGCTTGTCATGTTTGTTTTCAGAGATTTCATGCCACCGAATTCTTATAATCACAGTCCTTTTGTAGTGAGAGCTCCTGCTAAAGCCACAGGGTAAGTACTAGATGAAATGTTGCGTAATATGTTTATTAATAGACCTCTTTCGCTTGTGTTTTGTTGTCTGTTTTGTTACATTAGGGAGCTTAAGCAACCACGACGGCAACGGCAGCCAAACCGTCACCCAAAAAGTGCGGAATTCGCGCCGTTATAAACTTCATCGCTCTTATTCCAACTCTTTTAATTTGTCAAATGTTGACGATTTTTTCAGGAGTTGAATCTCCAATCCTGGACAAAAGTCCTTGGGACAGTATTGCAATATTCATATTTTTTCTGTCATTTCTCGGTTCCCTCTTAAAACAGTGCATTCTTTTCGAAATTTTCTTGCAGTTCTCCCTCCCCCCACCCTATGCAAAGTTGAAACTCAGAAACAATTCTGGATACACGCGTCCAACATTGTTTGTGAGGTGACGGGAGGGGTTGGACCTGAGTGAATTGGAAAACGCCCCAGAAATGCAAGTGTCCCAAGAATTTTGTCCTGATTGTAGAGGACTGTACTAAAGTTCACAAAAAGAAAAAGAAACTCGTTGTCTTGTATTTACGCCCTCCATAAAACGTGAAAATATAAAGTTTCACGTCGTAGTCCTGCAGTGACGACAGAGAAATGTACAAAAAGCGTGATCCACGTGCAGCGTTGTTGTTTTGCCAATCAAAACTTATTGCTTTTTTCCGTTCCTCGTAATTCTTCGACTTTGCAGTGAAGTGCTTATCCTAAATTCTTTAAATATCTACTTAACTATTCTCTCATAATAGAAAGAGATCAACAGCCATTCGTGCATAAGAATCTGTAGTTGGTGTAAAGCGAAGCGTAATAGAGAACAATTTTCTTTTTGAAATGATCTCACACTCGCTGAGTCCTTGGCCTTGACTCACATTAAAGTTGAGTTTTATGGAGGCTATTTCCACATGAGTCCTGGAACTGCAGCTGTCTACATTAGGAAATGAAAAGATAAAAACTGTGCAAAATAAATCTTATGGATAAACCTAACACGAAACTATCTGTTTTTATTTAGAAATAATGAAAACAAAACGACAAGAAAAGGGAAAACTTTCTCGTGGTATTCTAAATCTCTCTTTTGTATATACAGAAATCGTTAAACGCGGAAATCTCTATTAACACTGTATCTGTGGAGTCGTGAAACCTGCAGAACAGGAACTATTTTTTTCGTTTTTGGGTGAACTAAGAACGAAGTGGGCGTGGAACGCGAGTTGCTCGACGGGGGAAGGCGCCTTATCTCGACTCGCGTGTCTTGCGCTCGGCGCTCGCATCGTGCTTGCCTTCGCGCGACGGCGAAAAAATAACGCCTGTTCTTCAGGTTAGGAGTCCTGTGGACTCAGCCCGACTCTGTTTTGTTTGTAGCCGACGCCCTGTTCCTGTGCGCCGAGCAGTTGGAGCAGCTCCTGAGCCGTTGAGTGTTGATGACAGCTGTGATTCTGGATCCAGCTCTGATGATGACAGTTCAGCCATTTTATTTACACAAAGGAGCAGCAGCTCGAGTACTTGCTGTGTTTCATTTCAGGTTCGCTACAACAGTTGTTGAACCCTAATATCACCATGGACTTTCTTCGCACTGTTCTTCATACATTTCCTGTGATACTGAAGTGAACAATAGGGAGAAGTCTTTACGTCACGTTGCCATGGGAGCAAAATTTCTGGAACTGAAAAAAATATGACAGGAAAAAAGCATAAAAATTGTCATGACTTTCCTGTGCAATATTGTACTCAGGGAAAAATTAGTAGCCCATACTTTTCGTCCATCGTTCGACAATGAAATTGGCCACCTCTGTCAAGAAAAATTGTTGAGATTCAGAAATTTTGGTACCATGGTAACCTGACGTCACACTTCTCTCTATTTGTTTAACACTCAAGACCTTGTCTCTTGTAGATCATTTCCTTTTTCTCATGACCTTTATAATTGACTGAGCAGTGCAGCTGTCAGTGGAAATTGCATTTTGGTCATTCATAGATTAAAGGGCTTAGGTCAAGCTATTTTAGGGGTTCACCAAAGGACCACAGAATTGACTGAAATATCAGAATAACTTCTTCAAACTGCAGGAAGATACAACTGAGAGAAATACAGAAAAGCCAAAAAGGGTCACGGATTGGTAAAAGTGAACAAGATTGAAACGGACCGCATTCATGTAAACCTAAAGAACTTGTATGAAGTTGGAAATTATAATGCTGGGAGTCACTTCAATTTGTTCTGTGACGATGGATTTATCAATACAAGACGTTTCGATTTACTGGTTTGAAGTTTAAAGCTCATAGTTAACGAAAAAAGGCAAATTAATCCAAAACGCCGCTCCTTTATGTGTAGGGAATCGTGAAACCAGAATACCATAGACCTTGATATAAGAAAAGACGATCTTGTTTGCTTCAATGCAATGAACTTCATTAAGTCTCCCAAGTTGGATCTTCCGACCTAAGTTATAGTCAACAACAAAAAGAAAAGAATCCTGTTTATTTTCATTTTATCACTAATTTTTGTTTCTCTTCGTTATACGCTTGACAGGAGTTGCTGCCCTCTATGAAAGATGTGTATGGAGTTGAACTAGAAGACCCCAAGAGGGAAAATATGAAGGATTATGAAAGGTACTGTCTGCACATGCCTTGTGGTGATATACCGCGTTCTTTGTGACAGACTGGCTCACTGACAGAGACTAAGGTTGATAGAACGGAGAGATGAATGGGCAATGCGACGTACATACTAGATTAACTGACTGTTTGTTTGCCCGAACTGTTCTTTAAATATAGAGCCCTCAAAAGTTAAGCAGTGAGAATGGTCTGAGTATCTTGAAGCTGTGTCCCGCATTTTATCCATATTCAGTTCAACCATAAGAAACTGGCCACCAACTGAGTGAAAGATGAAAGTAACCATTAAAACATTGAAGGAACATTTCCATAAGCCAGCAAATACAAATAATGGCATGGATGGACAGAGGTGCAGAAAAAGTCGGTTTTCAAAATTGTTTAACTAAACAGGTTTTCAAAGTTGAAGACTGTTGTTTGTAACTTTGAAATGTAATGTTAGTTTCTCCACCAACATTCGGTTTCATAGCGAGCTATCGAAAAGACCATGGCCCGTTTACACGCATCCGGATATTTTTCCAAAACGGAGATTTCAGTTTTCAAAAATATCCCAATACGTGTGAACAGGGCTTAAACAAAATGTACTGAACTATCGTCCCAGAACCACTTTAATACCTTTCTTTTTCATTTATTCATTTTATTCTTTTTTTCCCTTTTTTTATTCATTAATTTATTTCGTAGATTTGTTCAGTTTGGCAAAACAGCTCTTCCTGATAAGGAACGCCCTGGCGTTAAACACATTCATTACAACTGGTAAGCAGTTAAAATAAATAGTGTTCGTAAAAGTAGCTGCGTTGTTTAGAAGGATTTTTAAGGTCAACAAGATATTCTTAGAAAGTACAATCGGGCCTGTCCAAAAAGCTAGCCACAATGCTGAGATCGGGTGGAATCCTACGGGAGATGCTATAGTTACTATGAAACTGATTTTGGATAGGAGGGGTGGTAAATTAACGGAAAGTGGCCTTACATTGAATTCCGACTGGCGAGATATCGAACTAAATCGAACAGGCGCTTATTACAGGTTTGACTGTACCTTATAAAGGCAATGAATGACTCAAACGGGGATTCGATCGTACCGGCTGAAAATTTGACCTCGTTTTGTTTTGAGGCGGCTAGATGTCTAAATTTTCGCACGGTTAAAGTGGTGTTAGGAAGGGACACCTAAACGCACAAATTTTCAACCAGTCAAAAATTCTTCCGGTCAACCGTGTGAACGTACCTTGAGACGTGAAACTTCCTGATGCGACGTTTTATGGGGGAAGTGAATGTTTGTTTCTCTTTCTGAACTTGACTGACTAGAGTCCTTAACAATCAAACTCCAAGAAAATTGGCCAACATTTGAAAAACTGATCGAGGCGAAATAAACGCAATAGAGCTTGATAGAACGCAAACTCATTTTTGTTGACGTTCTTGCTTCCATTGTCATCGTTGTTGAACGGAATGGAGCCCATTCCTGTTTTCGCTCAACATCGTTCAACTTCAACATGCCATGACTTAGTGTTCAACATTTGTGGAAATACAGCTGCAACATTTGTTGATCAATTACTTTTGAAGCGTGTGTAGCCCGCGAGCAAGCTCTTCAGTTAGGGGATATCGTGTGAAGTCACGCGCGAGCACACGCGAGGAGAGGAAGAGAACCTCATGCAGCTCTGGTTTGCTTTTTGTCGCTCTTAATGACGGGCTTGTTCGCAGGTTAAACCCCGTGTTACTGACTTAACAGTTCCTACATTGCTGTCGGAAAAAGTGTGTGCCTTTTATAAAGAATGCTAGAGAGTTTAAACTCACCGAACTCGGTTTTTTCTTTCTTAGGGCTGTGCACAAACCCTTTACTCTGGACTGTAACCGCAAAGTGAGACCGCCATCAGTAGATCGACCTTCAGAGGCCTTGTACACGGCTTATATACACGCTGGAAAAAATGGACGTTTTTGGCCTTCGTCTGTCAGTGTTGATGTTTATCGAAAATACGTTAGCAAGAATTACCAATGAACATGCCATCATTTAATTGGTCCATTTGAAAGATGAGAAGTGTCGAGCTTGAGGCCCTGTTGAGAGTTCGCGTACGTGTTGCAAAAACGGCCCTTTCTGACCTTTACTTGTTAGCACTGAAGTTGATCAGAAATATATTATCGAATATTATCAATGCTCTGGTCCATAGCAACTTGTGAGCTTGCTCTGGCTCCAATTTTTTTTTTTTTTTTTTTTTGGAATGGGAAGGGTTTGGGTTCATAATTAATTGGGACAGGTGTGGACAGGGAGTCCTGCCGATTAATTGCACCCCTCATATATCCGTCACATTATATCTACCTTGTCAGATTACCCAGGACCGTAATAGTATGGGTTCTTCTATCTTCTAAGCTTTCCTTAGAAGAACATAATGACAACCTATAATAATCATAAATAATGAGAAATCTTTGCCAACGTCACCTTATGGACAAATTAAATTGAACAAAGTTGAAAGAGTTGGTTAATTTGAGCCATTTGTGCTCAGCTCTTTCCAATTAATAACAAAAGAATAACAGCCATCGAAAACTGCGAAATTGCTGGGTGGCAAAAACGTTAATGAGCCCAGACATTCTTTGTTAATTTTCGAGTTTTTCAAAGATAATTTATCCGAAACCATTCGGTATATTGGGCTCAAATTTTCACAGATAACTAAAATTGTTATGCTCTTTCGATTTTCAGAGTCGATTTTAATAGCTTGATCAGAGAATGAAAGCATATGCTAATGAGGCAAAAATGTAGACAAAGACTGGCATGTACATGTTTTTACCCTGTGGTGAGAGATGGTTTCTCTGTGAACTGAAATCGCCGTTTTACTTTGTCTGGTTAAAGTGTAGCTGAAATCTTACTGTTTGTAAACTTGGTCAGTGACTAACACTCGATGATGTACTGTTTTTTTTTTGTTTTGGTTTTTCACGTTAGCACCCTACATTTGTAGATTTTGAATTTGGATATCGATTGGAAACTTACGTTAGAGTCACTATATGGTTTGTCTGACCACAGTGCCCGAGTAGATATAATGATTTCTTTGGAAATGGTTTGTTAATATATGATTTCTTTGACATTTCATTCGTATAAATTAACGTGAAATGTGATCCGAAATTTACACCCCTAAGGAGAGGTGGAATGTTTGGTTCGTTAGGATAGATATTATAATTAAATGACTGAAAGAGTACTCCAGGTTTAAGATTATATTATATATATAGTTTTTAATAGAAATAAAATTGAGAACGTGTAGTTCTCTTGTATGTATTGACTTTCTTCAGGGTGGATACGTCCTTTAAAAAGTATGTGCCAAAGGGTATGTGGGTTTAGGAAGGGGCGAAAAAAAGATCAGAGAACAACTGCGAATTAAAACTTGTGTCGAACTCTGAGGAATGGAGGAAAGACATTCTCATTTCAGGAGTCTGCCGGGTAGGCTGCGTGCAGACTCCTATTGCCTTTGATGCATTCCCTTTTCCGCCTTCAATGAAGACATAGGACCTTATGATCCGACAACGGCAACGCCTATGAAAACGTCGGTGAAACTTTGAAACTTTTTCGCCCTTAAAACAAGTCACCCAGTTACTTGAAAGTAAGGAAGTTAGGTGGGAACTGAAGAGAGGGGACCGCGTCCGAGTTCAGAGAGCAAAATGTATCGCCTTGCCGTTCCCTTTCTCCAGTCAACTCAAAATTTGTCATTTCACGTCGTAGTTGTTGCAAGGACGGCAGAGAAATGTACAAAAAGGCGTGCAGAGTTGTCTTTTTTTTTGTTCCCGTTGCCGTCGCCGTCATAGTTTCGTAAGGTCCCTAATAACGAGCAACGGGGACCTTTGGCCCGGTTCAGACGCCGAACTTTTCATGAGCCGAACCTAATACATTGAATTAAGTACATGAAAAGTTCCGTCTGAATCAACGGGCAACGCCTGTTTCAATTTAGAACGGGAGCCGTTCTTTTCGCCTTGCCCGGCCGGGAATTTCACCTTTGGACAAACGGCTTTGATTCAGACGCCGAACTTTTCATGTACCGAACCTAATGCATAAATTATTATAACGTATTTTGTAAGTAGTTTAACCGAAATGGTTTTTCTCCTTTTGAATTTAGTTCGGCTGGAATTAAGATCGGCGTCTGAATCATTTAGCTCCCTTTTCGTCACCATTTTTTTACTGAACCGGGCCTTACCCGTTCCGCTGGACAAGGGTAACATGGACTCTGGAAACTAGATTGGAGGAATGGTGGAATTCATCTCATTTTTTATCAACATTTTTTTTACGAGTTTTCGTCGGTTATTTCGGTATGAGAGCTTAGTCGCACCAACTTTCAGATGTAAAGTTTTTTTTATCCCCGGAAGTAAGGACCTTCCCATGCAGAGAAGCGAGCCCTAAAGCCCCCTAAAGGCTTCTGATTCTGAAACTAACGAGGGTCGTTACTTTCGAACGTTTATGGTAACAGTTTTAAAGAACTAAGAGCAAAGGCGAGTCTATCTAGAACAGAATCCAAGCTCTCTTCACTGAGCTCAAGCTCTTGGTCTTATGATTCCATTCAGCGTGTGGATTCCTTAGACTAAATTTTAGTGACGAAAACGGGAAAAACCACTTTTCCGAACCTTTAGGGGCTGTTCACACCAGGTGCCCGAGCACTAGTGCCTAGGTGCCGGCAACCTCATTCCCAGAGTTCTCTCCTACTCGTTCCTATGGAGCGAGAGACAGGTAGGAGAGAGAACCTGGGAACGAGGTTGGGGTGCCGGCACAAATGTAGTGTTGACACCTTTGATACCCGATGTGCAACTGTGATATAATTCGCCTAGTCAGACTCAATCTTAAATCGAAAGCGCTGCAGGAAGATAGACTTCTCAGTGTAAACGCTGCTACAGTTTAACAGGCTTCTGCTCCGAGTTTGATAAAATGGAGGAAACCGCATTTTTAGTCAATTTTTCCCCAAGAAAACAAAAACGCCGAAAAAAAGGACCACAACACAACACTAGTCAAGTAAATTAAAACAACAGATTTATTGCAATAAAATTTATTTGGATTGTTTTAAATTCTCTTTTAATATTGCACCAATCTCTACAAGAAGGTACGGAACAAATCTGCTCATAAATGATCTGACAACTAAAATAATACCTTCAACTTTTCAACTGATGTCTTTACATAAAAAATTCTTTAATTACAAAAACTGACGTAAGTGGCAAAACTCTTATTTACCTAATAAAACCTTGTTAGCAAACCCTTTCTATTTTGACGAGTCAAAGACAATTTTACGAAAGTTTCAGTTCTTCAGAGAAATGGTGAATTCCTTAACATTCGTATACTAAAAAACCCACAGATGAATTCATAAAATGCAAGATTTCAAACTATTAAGTTGCCTAAACTTTAGATAAAAATGCTAAATGTAGATTTTGAGCTAAGAAACTCCTGTAGTTCTCGGCATTTGCATTGCGCCCTTCGGACGAAATAACGGCTATTTTCTATGTATTGACAATTTAACTTCTCTAAATATAATATTTTAATCTGTAATACATTTATGTCGTTAAAATATCTATAATAATAATAATAATAATAATAATAATAATAATAATAATAATAATAATAATCTAGAAACTGTATAAATATATTAGCAGTATTATTAATCTGGTTCGTACTACTGAGAGAGAGAAATTCCAGAAGATTCGCAGGGTATAAGTATAAAATTCACGACCCTGAAGTACTTACTATTTTTCAATTGCGAACTATAAAGGGAGTGTTTGATTGACCATAATTATTCCGGAACAAGAATAAAAGGAACCCTTGGTTTGACATTCCCTAAAAGTTACCGGTACCACTTTTTTGACGGGTCCAGAACTAATTTTTCTGTAGTTCTAACGCGCCTTGAAATTCAAGGCGTTTTCCCACAGTAGATGGGACACCAGGCCATTTCTGAATTAATTTCGAAGCCAGCGCTTGGTCCTCAACTTTTCACGCAAGAGTAAGTTTTAATTCACGTGAGAAAAAACCAATGTTACGACGAAATGGTTGTGCACCAAGCCTCGCTTTGATGAAGAGGCTTGAGGTAACTCGAAAATGAACAATTTTAGGTGCCTTTCTCCGGGCCCTGGAATAAATATTAAAATTCAAGAGTTTTTCCAGATTTCATAACTGGCAGGAACGCTGACTATCAAACACTCAAATGGTCTGGGTATGTGATTCATCATACTTGTCCATCTGCCTGTCCATCTTGCTCCTCCACTTCATTCTCTTCCCTTCGAACTAACAATTCATTTTGCTCTCGCGGAACCTCGCTCCTGGTTCTGGGACGGACTTCTTCAGACAATCCACGAAAATCATTGGGAACCTTGAGATAAAGAAAACCGCATGTCTGATCTGCCAAATCAGTGTGACGGTATCTTTCTATTAAAAGCTTCGGTAAAACCGGCATCAAAAACGTGCAACTTGTTTTGCGAAAAAAGCGATGTTGCGCGTTTTAACACCCTCGCTCAAACCCGTGAACAACCTTAGTTGCAAGACAGATTTGATGTGGGTGGCAAAACGCGCAACATCAGGATTAAACCCGTTTTGCGGCAATGTTGCAAGAAAAGTTTCATTTTTTATCGTTGCCCGTTTTACCTTACTTTAAGATATATTTCTTTTCCTGGGAAATGACACCTTGTTAAACCTTTTAGAGCCGCTTACGAACTTTGAAACTCGGGATTTACAAATACATCCGTAAACTATCTATATGAATGCGTTTACAGATGTTAACGGACTCGCTGGCCTAGGTTGGCTGCTATGGACAATGGATGCGAAAAGAAAAGAAAAACAAAAAAATCCTACATAGTCACGTATACGTTTACAGATTTCTGTGACAATGGTTAGCAACCCAAACAGACTGATTCATCAAATGAGTCCACGTGTCAATCGATCGTGAAAACAAAACAAATTTCGTCAGCAACAGGACATACCTGCCATGAACAAGACATCAGCCTATATTTATGAAGTGTCTTCGCCTTATATTCATGCCGTCATTCGTCGACAATTTATTTCACCTCACTCTAACGAAAATTCCGCTTTAAAAAGGGGGTGAAATTCATGCGCCCTATACTACTCACCAACTTCCAGGCTTTTTCACTGACGTCTGGCTTTCAGAGTAAATTGTTCAACGAGAACAAAACGACTTTGACCATCGCCCCTTAAGGCAAACGTATCGTATTGGCTTTAATCTAACCTACCTCCCAGAATTCCCCATCATCATATAAGGCTTCCTCCTTCAGGGGATCAAAGAACGGCTGTTTGACAATGATACCTGAAAATAAATCAGTAACCTTGAGGGTAATAATTGAATGTTATGCCATCAGAGCCTGAGGGCGAGCAGGAGGTCAGCAACGCTGATGATTAAAGTGAAAGCTGTCAGTTCGTCAATCTATAAACCATGTTTAGTGAATCGGTACAAGCTATGGCGCAACGATTTCTGCGGTCCTTTAGGGGAACCGAGTTACTTATGTTTGGTCTGGTCGATTTTATTCGAAGAAAACCAGTATATTGTCCCCCCCCCCCCCACCCCCCATCCGCCACCAAAAAAAATTATGCAGTGCCGAATTTATTAAAGGCTGTTTACGGGGCCGATTTTTGAAGAGTGAATGAAAAAAGATCTCGAAATATTCAGCTTTTCTCGCTTGTCAAAAGCGTGAGGAAAGCCAACCGATGACGTCCCAGAAAAGCAAAACGATGCCATTTTATATCAATTATTGTCTTATCAGGTTGCGCGTCTCTATACAGAAAGCGGTATGTTGAAAGGCCATAATAAACAGCCTACCAGTAAGAAGACCACCGAATATCGCCAGCGCTAATGTTACAACTAAAGCAGCTAACTGAAATACGGCTTGTTTGTCTGCACTCCACTTCAGACCATCGGAAGCTTGTGGGCTAAACTTGACCAACTCAAAGTACCGGGTACTATTAAGCACTGGTGCTCTGGCTGGAAAAATTGTGTAAAGACTGGAAAAGAAAAAAAAAAGAAGAGAAAATCGTACTGTCAAAATTGAACGATACTATGTACAGATGAACTGGAAAGAAAATACGGTTTACACGAGGACATAAAAAAAAAACCAATACGCAGTAAAACAAAAGGTTTACTTCAAGTATTTATCAGTCTTCACAAATATGCTTTCCCATACTTTCTTACGCCCTAAATAGACAAAGAAAGCTCAAACTCTCGTAGAAAGCATGAGCTAATTGAAGCAAACAAAGATTGGTGCAAATGCTTAGGCTTCCCAAACAACGCATGCTTCCTACTTTAAAAAGCTCCAACTTTGTAGTCCGATTTCTGTCATTATAATTAAAGGACAAGGAAATTTCTTGGAAAGTTGCTGGTAATTGCACTTTACATCACTCATTGACACCTTCAAGCCTCCGTTAATTTTTTTACAACATTTTCAAGAATTGAATGAACTGGGGGAATACAAATCTAAATGAAAATATGACCATTGCACTTGCAATCGCAATTTAACCAACTGCAAATTATGCCTGAAAAAATTTCTAGGTTTCAACGGGATACAAACCCACGGCCAGTCTGCTTTAGCACTGCAGTGCTCTACTAACTGAGCTATGAGGACCCATACATTAAAAGCAGGGCAATTTGTTGAGTTCATCAGGGACACCCAACGTCAAGCGCCAACGCCAAGACGATTTGAGACCTAGAATTTTCGGAACATTTGCTGTAAAATTTCTTGCTTGCCCGCTCCACCTAGCATTTTCGAGCACCTAGAAAATGGTATAATTGCCCACTTTTAACCGATTTTTACCTAAAAAAGGTCACCTAGAATTTTCGGGAGCCTTTTTTCTGGCTGAAATTATCTAGAAAAGGTAAGTTTTGATGCCTATAATTTTCAGATCACTAGACTTTCAGCTAGGAAATCCGAACACATAAAAAATTTTTACGGGATAAAAATATGACTACATCTACCGTTTAAATACTAAAATACGTTGAGCAATGCTATGTTTAAGTGGTTTTGAACTATATTCTCGTTGGGTGCCCCTGGTTGATTTAACCCGTGAAAGGAATGAAACATAGATTGAAGATGTTTGAGAGTCTTGGGATGTCTGACAAAACAGTCAAATTATCTCGGACGCAAAGATAAATGCTGGCTATGGTCTCAAAAGGCCACCATTCACTACCTCTAAAAGGCAAAAGAAACTCAGTACCTTGTCTTGTAATTCGTATAGTTTGCAATACTTGCAGATATGGCTCCAGCAATTGCACCAAGGATGCCAGGAATTCCGTGCAAACTATTTACACCACACGTGTCGTGAACTCGAAGCCTCTTGATTAACCATGGCTAAAATATAAGTGACTTGTTAAATGGTAACCTCCCTGTATGCAGTCACAGGTTTCTTGAAAACTATGAGAACATTTTCCTAAGTCTTCAAACTCAAAGACAGATAATTTCAATACCGCAAACGTTAGGCCGAGTTTTGACACCAAACTAATCATGAGTCTAACCTAATGTACATTGCATTGCTGGTAAGTACAGGAAACGTTTGCTGTGCGAATCAATTAAGAACGGCTATTTTGACAGGACATGAGTCCGCTGTTTTTCCTGCTTTGGTTGCGTGGTTCGAAAATTTTGCTGTTAATTCAGACCATGAAATTTTTCACACAGAGGACCTAATACACTTAAAACCTTGACTCGTGATTAACAACATGAACGGTTCAGCTCCTAAATCAAGCTTCCCAAAGACAACTTCTTCGTTAAGCATAACAAATTTTGCAATAAGCGATTTTTGTTCCAAAAACCCTCACTTGTTCCCAGAATGTAAGTGCCTTGAGACAATTTGTGAGGATTAAATAAAGTCCTGTCTAACCGTCCCGAGTCTTCAAATGAATTCCCATGTTGTAATCATAAAAATTCTTGAGTAGTACTTTTTTAGCCTCCAAGCTTCATCTTTCTGGATCTTCACAAAATCTTTTATTGGAGAGGACTGCAAGAACATCTTTTTAGGAGGCTATATTTTCATTTGTTTAGTAGAATCGGTTTCTTACTATTTTTGACTTTTAGAACAGAAGCTGGCTAATCAAGTTTTTACACTTTCCTCATTTTTCCTTAGAAATTTGTATTTGTTTGCCTTGGTACAGAATGCTGAGATAACAGTAGCCTGTGTAGAGCTAGTCTGCTACACAGCCGTTTTTAGTGTCGTCACGCAACGCTAGGAGCATTGCGTGACGACACTAAAAACGGCTGTGTAGCAGACTAGTGTAGAGCTGCCTCCTCCCCTCAAACAAAAACATGGAGAGAGACAGTCTCCTCCCCCGATTTTGTTTGAAGATAATTTTGGTTAGGGGCTGTTTACAGGCTAAGAAAACTGATATTAAATTATTTTAATACCTGTATGTACTTGAAACCAATTGTGCTAATTGCTCCACTAACAAATCCAATCAGAACTGCACCCCATGGATGAATTATCATGGGTGCAATTGTACCCATGGCAACGCCTCCAGCCAGGCTCGCATTTTGGAGGTGAACCTAGTGAGCAAATGAACAAAATATTAAGTAAATTCATTTTAAGAAAATTATTATAGCAGCTGCATCTGCTTGTTTGAACAAACAGTAGTGCCAGGAAGCAAGACATAAAACAGGCAAAGTCCAAAGAGAATGTGAAAAACAGAAACAATAAAATGTTGGCAAAAATTATAGATGTCTGGTGAAACAGATGCCAACTTCAGTGGTTTTATATTTTAGATTTATGAAAATTGAACGATCTTAAGGTTTAAATGAATTACAAATTATGCCAACTTGAGTATTTTATATAACTGCACGATATACATAGTGTTTTAGCTTTTTTTTAATTTGACTTTTGAATTATTAGGCTCATTTCTTAACCTTTGCTACCATGCAAGTGAAGTATTGTCATGTATTGAATTCAAAATATATTTTTATTTCAGGTCTAAATGAAAACTTGATGCATTGTATTAATTTAAATTAGCTTTTAGGCCTCTTTTCCCTGCCTGTGACAGTCAGAAGTTATGAGCTCACTTGACTGCATGCAAAAGCACAAGTCAGAGTGAATTGAATGAGTTCCAGCATTGAGGTGTCTGTATAGACTATAAAAAACACAATGAGTGGAATAACCACTTGCTTGACCTAAACCCCAGTGAAGAATATTGCAAGACAGGCCAACTTGTGTCTTACTAGAATTCTATCAGGAATCAGACTGCTACGAGTATGAGCATTTTGCTTAACGTTTTAAAAAATTCTATATTTTGCCTTCCATTCTTACTTTTGAGTTTTGGTGGTATGCTTCCAAAAGCAGAGTGTGCCATTTAGCCTAAGTGTAACAATCTCATAATCTAAGTAACATTTCAAATAAAATAATTATAAAACTTACCATGCTAAGCTTTGATTCCTTTGTCATAAGAGATGAGAAAGCACATGAGGTTACACAACTAGTTACCAATGCATAGTAGGTGTTGACGATGGCTCTGTGACTTGCCACTCCTTCGACAAGAACAGCATTGAAACTTGGCCAGCAAACCCACAAGATGATTGTTCCTAAAGCAAAATAATAATAAAAAAAACCTGTTCTTATTCTCACAGAAATTTTGATGCTATATTACACGAGGATTTTAATTTCATGGTTTTGGGAGAATGCTATCGATCAAGTGATAGATTTGTTAAGACCACAACCAAGTACAAAGAGAAACCCACAGGAATCAAGATTGAGCTTCCCAATGATATCGTTTTAAATTCTAATGTTATTTTATTGCATATATCAGGGGCACCAAATGAGGATATAGTTCAAAACCACTTAACATAGCATTGTTGAATGTATTTTAGTATTTAAACGGTAGATATAGGCATATTTTTATCCCCTAAAAACTTTTCATCTGTTCGGATTTCCTAGCTGAAAGTCTAGTGATCCGAAAATTATAGGGATCAAAACTTACCTTTTCGAAAATTTCGGCCAGGAAAAGTCTCCCGAAAATTCTAGGTGGCCTTTTTTAGGGTGAATATCCATTTAAAATGGGTAATTATACCATTTTGTAGATGTTAGAAAATCCTAGGAGAGGCAGGCAATCAAGAAATTTTACAACAAATGTTCTGAAAATTCTAGTTCTCAAATCGTCTTCCGAACAGATATTTTCCCGAAAATTGCCATTGGGTGCCCCTGATATATGTCAACTCTCCCAGATTATCATCAGGAGTCTCCCAGATACTGCACTGATCTCCCACCCTCTTGTATGTGTCAAAAAATCTTCCAGATAAAATGGACTTTTGAGCTTTTCTGAGCTTTAGTTTGAAATTTAGCCCATTTTTTTCCCTCAAAATTCAACCTTTTTTTATTCATTGTATGGTTTCTGGGACATTTTTCCATGCAGTCACTGACAGATTATTTCATCATTACAATGATGAAAGCAAATTTTGACTTCATATAAGGTCCCAGGTCATGGCCACTGGGTCAATTTGTGGGTGAGGGGGTGGGGGGTGGTGGGGCTGTTGACATTTGAAGTGGGGTGGGGTGTAGTGCGAAATAGAGAGTCTCGAGTTTTTAGATCTCCAGAGGTTGGCATCTCTGCTATTGCAAATAGTAAAAAGAGGTGCAGTTTCATTTCTTTCTTTCTTGAAGGTTTTGTCCATTTTCCAAACACTACGTTACACCGGATAGGATAGAATAGATGTCAATATCAGACTGAAGGGTTTTTTTTGTGAAAGTTAGGGATGATTAATTTGACAATGCTAAAGATCCTTTTTTTTTTTGTTCAAATTTAACTTGAATTGGCATGCCCCCTTAACACTGTGCAGTCACTCCCTGTTAATATTAATACACACTTTCTACAGCCCCCTCATAGGGTTCTACTGTATTTCCAAAAATATTGCTGAGAACTCTATTTTTTGTATAACTCACCCAATGTTGCAAAAAGATCAGAGGTATATCTGGAAATTTCTTTGTCGTGGGCTACAGCTCTTTGAGTGTACAATACACGAGAAACTCCCAAACCAAAGTAAGCGCCAAATGCATGAACAAAAAATGAGCCACCAGCGTCAACTGCATGGAGGAACTTGGTAGCTATTGCTCTGTTTACAGAGTAAATCACAACTTCAATAAAAGATATGACAAGTAGCTGATGATGGCTTGTTTTACCAAGTAATGCACCAAATGAGACTGTTACGGCTACAGCTGCTAGGTCGCCTTTGATCATGCTACAAAAAATAGTAAAAATAACAGTGAGTGGCAAAACTCAAATAAACTAATGATAAGTTCGTAAATAAATACAGTGTCAAACTCTCTCTGATGAAGGGATTCTTTGACTAGTGGACTGTGAGGCTATCAGGAGAAGTCGTTCTGCTTAACTGTAGATTTTATCATGCAACGACAGGACTGTAATGTAGGACTGCTGACTAGTGGTCAAATGTGATTTTATGTGGGAGCGGGAACTGAAAACACAATTAACTTGATGCCTACTACACCATGGGAGTAATGATGTAATAATGAGGACCTCTTAGGAGAATAAATATGGTCATTTTGCATCTGAGGAGCAGGCCATGTCCCTGTCAGAGGGGGACATTGGGGGACTATGAACACTGCAACACGGTCGCAGAAAAAATAACACATAAACCCCATCACTACCAAAAAAGTTAAGGAAACACCGACATTGCAATTTAATTTTTGTCCTATGATCAATCTAATCCATTAATCTTCATATGATTCGGGGGGGGGGGGGGGGGGGGGGGGGGGGGGTCACGGAGGTTTTCGGAACTGGTTTTGTTTTTGCAGAGACTCAGACTGACCTCAAGATTCAAAGAATTCTATTTCAGTCATGCAGATATGAAGAATGCATTCTGGCTTGTATGGACTCTGTTGTAGGCTCAATGACCTTGGTGTTGCAGCCACTGACACTTATGGCGCGTTTGCAGGATGAACTAACTATTGAAAACATTAAGTAAAAAGGGAGATTTTCATTCAAGTCTCTAAATGTTGTTAATGTTCCTCGTTTTGTGGTAACCACAGTCAATGAATAAACCACAACACCGCAAAGGGTCCGCAAGTTATTTCTTTTCACCGAGTATCATAGGTTTAAAATCAGAAACACCGCACATGGTACAGTTTGAGTCACCGCAAGATCACAAGATGGGAATATTATTCACCGCAATACCACACAAAAATATTAGCAACACCACAAATGACCACAAATCCCCCCGTCCCTCCTGTCAGTATTTATCCCATCTTGATGTTGTTTGTCACCATTTTATCTATTCTTGTGTTGATGCTTCAAGGCCATGTTGCTTGATGGAATTTTATCCTACGAGGTCCTCATTAATGTGGCACTGGGGTGTCCGAGGATTCTAAAGTTGCTCCACCTACTTAATAGCAGAGGGGGTGAAAAAGCCAACAAACGGATGGACAGATTTTTGCAATATTTTTGCCTGGATTTCAGATTCAGAGCAAAAATTTACTGGATTTGCAGATCGGGCAATTGCATGCAGTGGATTGTGAATTAATCCACTCTTTGGGCCTGGATTTTGGACTTTGGATGTTTTAAAACTATTTTTGCTCGGATTTCGGATTCAGAGTGAGATTTTAATGCAAAATCTGGTTACTAAATCATAACCCAGAGTTGTGGACTTGCATACCCCTATTCACCCCACTCCGAATACAACCCATATATAGTACCCGGGGTGCTCCCATACATTACCTATACGGGTATGTGCCACCCAACGGGGTCGTGATTTTGAAGCTCCTGATTTAGAACGGGGTATCCATTTCAGAGGCGTTTTCTAGAACGGGGTATGATATTTCGAACACACGAAAGCTCCAGTTTTGTAAGCAGCCATTTGAAATTATTCAAGGACAGATTGCTTTTAAAAATACAGTTCAATGCATTAACAAGGAAGCTGTTGTACTATTTGCACCTTAGAACGGAGTATAAAAATTGGCCCATTTCTAGAACAGGGTATCAGTTTTAGGGCAAATTCTGGAACAGGATATCAATTTTAGAGGAAATTTTTTTAGAACGGGCTGCCAATTTGGAGTCCCGGGCGCCACATACCCACCCAAAAAATACCCAAGTGCCCCCCCGGGATATAGTACTCCTTCCACTTTCTTAATTTTGATCTTTGTCAGGTCAGTCAGGGGGGGTGTAGGGAGGTTCAGTGGGGGACATATGTTATAAACCGAAAATAATCTGTATGTCACTAATCAAATAATTCTTTTCTCCAACTGAAACAACAAAAATACGTTTCTGTATCAAAGATATAAAGGTAATTATTTAATTGCTTACCTTTCCAATCCAATAGAAATTTTATTGTTGCGCATCTCAAAAAATCCTTGCATGATGGTTGACCACTCGATCACCAGAGCAGAAATAAGAAAATTATAACCCATGGCACTGAATCCATATTTTCTCAGAAAAGTTAATAGAAGGCCAAATCCAGCAAAAAGCATTAGGTGCAGTCCCCCAAATACTAAAGAAGAAGATGAAAAAGTAAAAAATGTTCATTTCCGTCGTCAGCAGAGAAATTCATTATCATTCACTTTTCGAAGCGTCATAATGTAAATTGCACTCACCGGAATATTTTGAGTCGGTTTTGGTCTCATTTTCGCCATCTGGAAGGAGTTCGTCACTGTAACCAACGAAAACTACGAACAAAATTAACAGCAACCCTTGCAAAAGCAGTAACAAACCAGCAAATTTTCCCCTTCCTATGCTTTGATCCGTCATCTCAGTGTTTTGAGCGACAAACCAAATATACAATTCTTTGATCAGTGTTCATTTACTTTCTCTGATCTTGCCGCCTCAAAAGATAACTACTGGTTCAGCGGTAAAGTGCAACCTAAAAATGCAGTTAAGACTCTTCGCTGCCTGCGTGTTTGTTCTTCCGCCGTTCATCTTCAGCTTTGCCTTTTTATCTGTGGAGAAAATCCGAGTGGCAGGGGAGAGAAGGGTAGTGTACTTGGTGTGTTTTCCCAGTCGTTGACGAGTTGCACGGCGTTATCCATGGAAAAAAATCACTGTTCAGTAGATAAGTGCGAGTGCAAGCAACACTGTTATCCACTGGATACAGATTTATTCCATGGATAGTATTAATATTCACCTTTTGAAAACACTGAATCAATTCTGTGTAAATCGGAGTGGGGAGAGGAGACAAACGTAGACGAAAATTTCCACCCCCGACCCCTCCCTACCAAATCAAGGATCGGCAAATGGCGCGTTTTCTAGCCTGACATTCATCCGATTGCTTCGAGTCGTTTTCTACTCTCAACAATGGCTTTCGCGCGGTCTTGTGTCGTTGTCCCAAGTTCAAAGGCCGATTTATAGCGCTAACCCAACGTTAAATTTTAATTTCTTTTCCTTTCGTTCGAAGACATTTTCTCGGATAATTTTTCTATATGCTTTTTCGAGTATCAAATCATCAAATAGGCCACTAGCACTAAGAGGTCACGTGACCAATGATTCCTTTAAACAATGAGTTGGAACCTTGCTGATGCCAAAAATTGACAGAGCACATAAAATTTATCTTACACCCGGAATTTGTATAGGTAATAGCATGATTTGTAGTGATATTTCGAAATTGTTATACACAATTTCACGAGCCGTTAGGCGAGTGAAATTTGAAACAATTTTGAAATATCACGAGTGGTATTTATGCCAAATATTACGTACAAATCATGCTATTATTTGTTTATACTACTACCCGCAAAGATTTTGTAATTTTCACATGTAGGTATTTCAAATTAAGCTGAAATACCACTGATCTAAGCCAATCAAATTGCAGAAATTTCTCATGTAGTAGTATAAGAGAGGAAACGCATTTCAGGGAGGTATTTTATGGCACTTTGATTTTTCAACAAAGTAGTATGATTTGTATTGACCGCCATGTTGGAGGGCATACTCTTGCCCTCCAACGTGGCGGCCAAAACTACTTTTTGCTTATATCTTGTTTGTTAAACGTTTGATAGTTACGCTCAGATGTGCTGTAAACGTTCTCACATCATCTTTTCAACATTTTCCTTGAAGTTTTATTGCAAAATTTGTGTTTAGAAAGAGGTAATTCATAATTTTAAAAATCACATTTTGGTCACGTGACCAGCTACGAACTTACTCATTTTAAGGAAATGGCGTGGGTTTGAAAAACCAAATCACTATTATTTTGTTTAAGATATGACCCACTAATCATTTTTCGAAAGCAAAATCATACAACGTTCATTTTCATAAAAACAATGTCACATGACCTCTTAGTGCAAATGGCCTATTGTAGACAAAAAGAACATGAATGAATTTGCTTTTCAAGCTTTCAAATTCAGCACTGACACTGGGCGATCTCCACGGGCGAACATTCTGAGATCAGCAGAGGAGCTCCTGAGGAACTCTCTTAATAAGCCCCGGCAGGGTGGGTACTCCTGGGAATTCTTGGTGGGAGTGTGCCGCCCGGTTCTCCAAATCCTGACCCGATTTCAGACGAAAAAATGTAATTTTCCACACCCGTTTTCAGACCAGACTTCTAAAATCCATACCCGTTTTCATACCTGGCCTTTAGGCAGAAATTATGTTATCATTACTCATGATTACTTGGATTAGAGCGCCAACAAACAAACTGATCAAATCCATTTCGAATTCGCATACCGTAAAATTCCGAAAATAAGCCCCTCCAAATATAAGCCCCCCAAACCGGTAACACAAAAAACCCTCCGTTAAATCGCCCCTTCAGATATAAGCTCCCCAAACCGGTAACACAAAAAACCCTCCGTTAAATGGCCCCTCCAAATATAAGCCCCCCGGGGGCTTGTACTTGGAAAATTGCCCTCAAATACAAAGTAAAACAAAGCGAAAACAGTAAATTTCCTTCCAACCATATGGCTAGCCCAATCGATTTTGGATCGCAAATTTCCCTCCGTAGATAAGCCCCTCCGAACATAAGGCCCTCCAAAAATAAGCCCCTCAAAAAGGGCCTTTGAAAAATATAAGCCCCGGGACTTATTTTCGGAATTTTACGGTATTTCTCTTTCTTACTCATTTGGAAGTGAAACGATATATACCCTCATACACTCCCGTAATTCCCCCGAAAACCTTAACCGATTCCAGACCAAACTGAGCAAAGTGTATACCCGTTTTCAGACCAAAACGGCGAAAAAACCCTACCCGATGGGGTGGCACATACCTATATAGCTTATATAAGGGAGTACCCCCGGGTAATAAGCCTGGTTTCCATATGATCGTTTGGATCATCCCGATCGCACCAGTCGTTTAAAAAAATCCGGAAGACTGGCGCACTTCTGTAGCTGTTCTAGCTCTGCGGGTAAATATGCAGGAAGCGCCTTGTGAAACACCGGGCATGCGTATTCCGTTACTGGGCGGATACAGGTCAAGTAAAAGATTAGCAGATCTTTGGCGCGAATATTCGCTCTCTTTAGTTGTTTAAGAAAATATAGTCGACTCGCTACTTTTTTACTTATTTCAGCAACATGACAGTTCCACCGGAGGTCGGATGATATATTTAGACCTAACAACTTAACAGTGGACTCTACCTCTATTGCTTTCCCGTTGATAACAATGGGAGCAAAGTCCGCGGCTGATTTAGCGAACGAAATTCGTAGTTCCTTACACTTCGACTCGTTTAGCTGGAACTTGTTTTGGTTAGACTTAGCGATCAGTTCCTCAACATCAGATTGGATACGGCTGTCTTACTTCTTGTCAACACACTCTGCAATAGTTGTGTCATCCACGTATTTCCACAGTTCCGTGTTCAAAATCATCATTGCAGTGCTGTCAACTCTTTCGGATAATCCGGTAGACTCCAGATTTTAAACTATTTCTCCCAGTCTCTAGATTAGAGACTGAAATCTCCCGGATAATCACCTAAGTTTTCCATTTCTTTTAGATTCGACTTTCTGGCAATGAAATTTCAAATATTTTGCGTTGTTTGAGTTATTTTACCGTTAACATCGAACGTTTCCTCACAAACTCCGGTATGCCATTGTAATATAAGCAATAATGTGATTGGTGGCAAGTAAGCCAATCAGGTTAAATGTTACAATTCCAACAACATCTTTTTTGCGCATTTTTTTTACAAATGACGTCATGTGCCGTGCATTATGACGTCATCTCTCATCCCTTCCCTATCAATTCTAAATATTTGAAGACGTGGGGGGTTGACAGTCCTTAAACTGTTTGTCTTCAGAGAATTGTCCCGTCGCAGGTGCCACGTTTCGTAACCGTCGCCCCGCCGTTTACTGAGGATAAGCAAGACTCTAACGAACTAAGGCTCAATCAATAAATTCGACTGAGATTAAAACTGGTTTATTGTGCTCTAACATACAGTCAATTACATCGGGCGTGTAAAGAGCTACTCTGACAACAGACTAGCCTGTTCTAGGCGTTCAGATAGTGGAGCGCGGTGTTCGGATTGTGGGGAGCAAGTTCGTACGCGGAGGAAACTAGACGAAAAAACGAGAGGAGAGTGGGGCGAGAGCGAGGGAACGCCTGTAAACATTCTTAACAAAGAGTCGTTCCGTTATTCCAGTATGCCCTCTTATTGGTCGATTATGAAATTTGTACTCAGGGTACATTAACTGCATCTGAGATTGAATCCTGTCACAAACAAACCACAGGAAAGAATTACTCAATCGATGCCTGAAACAGACCAGCTTTGGGTCTCTTAATGTTAGACTCAGAGCGGCAGAAGTAAGATTTGTTCTGTAAAAAGACGGAAAACCTCTGCTGTTGTTTATTAAAAGCCAACTCAGTTGGCTTTTAATAAACAACCACCATCACACCATCACGAGCTTATAATTCGCGTTTGGCCTGTAAACACTTTATTTTACAATTCAGTTCAACTGTAGTTCATGTTACAGTTACGCGGTCGGCGGGCAAGTAGGAGCGGAAAGAGCCCTGTAAGGAAATGTTTACAGGCGTTTCCTCCATTTTCCCTCTCTAGTCTCTCCCTTTTTTCGTCGTCAATTCTTCGACCGCGCTCTACTATCTGAACGCCTGAAACTGGCTAGCAACAGACGGAAACCCTTATTTTTGTACTTAATCCTATGCGCTATTTTTGTTAAATTTAACATTCAATGTATCTGCAAGGTCATTCAAGCTTTACTCCATCACAGTATTTGGCATATCTTAAAAATCAAATGGAATTGTCTTCACGTGCTGATAACCTTTGTCTAAAGCATCATGGTTTCTGGTTGAGTCAACAATCTCTTGAGTTCGATGAAAGGTTTATAATGGCTTTCATTCCAGTGAAGATCCACCCTTTTCTTGATAAGCTCTGTAAGAGGGATAGTGACTTCGGATAGTCTTGGAGCGAATGTTGCGACAAAGTTTCGTCATGCCTAACAAGCAATGTACGTCTTCTTTGTTTGTGGGTTTAGTATCATTGTTAATGGCCTGTATCTTTTCTGAGTCAGTTTTTAGACCATCTTGCTATTTTCACCCGATATAAGTTATCTCCCGGCGACGAAACAGGCACTTGTCGGCGAGAGATTTATCTGCTGGGCCCTGTCTAGTACTTTTTCAAGACGCTTATCATGCTACCCCACACAAGAAAATCATCTATGTCAGTCTCGCAGCCATCGGCGTGGTTAAACGTTTCGAGGATTGTTCTGTGGAATACCTCTTGGGCAAAAACAACTCCAAACGGGACGACGAGAAATAGGAATCTTCCAAAGGGTATTTTGAATGTTCATGTTAGATACGAACTCTCAGTGTCCAGCAGGATATGCCAAAACCCAGATTTGGCGTCAAGGTTGCTAAAATATTTGGCGCCGGCCAGTCTGCTCATGATCTCTTGTTGGCTGGGCGGATAGTATTGTTCACGTAAAATCACCTTGTTAAGGTTCTTGCAGGTAGATATAGGGCGCTTTCCATTTACGAAAAAAACTCGGAAATTTCGGTGGTAGCAAAAGTGGAATTTCCGATTGGTAAAAAGTTGTTCCATTTGGTCGTAAGCCCCGGTACGTGGCGCGGTGCCCGACCGTGGACCTGGAACAGGTACAAACTACGAGAAACGTAAATGGAACACGACATTCCGTTCGGAAATTCCAACCGGGAAAACGGGACCACCTTTTTAGATTTTCCACTTTTTCTGGGAATTTTCCAGTGGGACGAAC